TTATAATCCAACATAGCAAAAATAAATCCTACTTTGTCATGATGTATGATCTTTCTGATGTACTGCTGATGTACCGATTTGCTAAGATTTTGTTGAGTATTTTGGCGTCTATGTTCATGAGGGATATTGGCCTGTAATTCTCTTTCATTGTGTTGTCTTTCTCTGGTTTTGGTATTAGGGTGAAGCTTGCTTCATAAAATGAGCTTGGAATTGTTCCTTCCTCTTGAATTTTTTTGTAGTATTCTGAGGAGGATAGGTTTTAGTTCTTCCTTGAATGTTTGGTAAAACTCCCCTGTGAAGCCGTCTTGCCTTGGGCTTTTGTTTGCTGGAAGCTTTTTGATTACTGTTTCAATTTCTTCCATAGTTATTGGCCTATTGAGATTTTTAGATTCTTCCTGATTAAGTTTTGCAATGTTGTATTTTTCAAGAATATGTCCCGTTCCTCCCGGTTGTCTAGTTTGTTGGTGTAGAGTTGTCTATAGTATTTTTTTTACAATCATTTGTATTTTTGTGGGGTCTGTGTTATTTCACCTCTATCATTTCTGATTTTGTTTATTTGGGTCCTCTCTCTTTGCTTCTTGGTGAGCCTGGCTAGAGGTTTATCCATCTTGTTTATCCTTTCAAAGGACCAGCTCTTGGTTTCATTGATTTTATGGGATTTTTTGTTTTGTTTTTTCGTCTTGATGTCATTTATTTATGCTCTGATCTTTATTACCTCCTTCCTTCTGCTCACTCTGGGTTTTATTGTTGCTCTCTTTCTAATTCTTTGAGATGTAGAGCTAGATGATTTACTACCATTTTTTCTTGTTTTTTGAGGTAGGCCTGTAGAGCTATAATCTTCCCTCTCAGGACTGCTTTCATTGTGTTCCATAGGTTTTGGCTTGTTGTGTTTTCATTGTCATTAGTTTCTAGGATGTTTTTAATTACTTCTTTGATCTCATTGGTAACCCAATCAATACTTAATAACATGCTATTCAGCTTCCAGGTTTTGAGTATTTTGGGTTGTTTTTATTGTAGTTTATTTCTAATATTATGCCATTGAATTTGGAAAGACTTTGTCACAAGATGTGGTCTATCTTTGAAAATGTCCCATGGGCACTTGAGAAGAACGTATATTCAGTGGCTTTGGGGTGCAATGACCTGAAGATGTCAATGAAGTCCATCTGATCTTGTGAGTTATATAAGATTGCTGTTTCTTTGCTGATTTTTTTTTTTTTTTTTTTTTTTTGGCAGCATCCATGAAGCAGTGGAGGTGAGCACACGTATTACAGGTAGAAAATAAAATACAGCTGGGAGTTACTGTGGGGATATTCTGAGGTGGGTCTCTTGTAGTCAGCAAATATTTGGGTCATGTTGTTTTATCCACTCATCACTCAATGTCTTTTTGATTGGAACATTTAGTCCATTTACATTTAAAGCTATTATTGCAAGGTACTTGTTTATAGCTATTTCTATTTTGGGGCCTGTTTTCTTTCTGAGCTTTTTATTTCTTCTTTTTATACCAGTCCCTTTAGCATTTCTTGCATTGCTGGCTTGGTTGTGATAAACTCTCTTATCCTTTTTTTGTCTGTGAAGCTCCTTATTTCCCCTTCAATTTTGAATGATAGCCTTGCTAGATAGAGTATTCTTGGATTCAGTCCTTTTCTTTGCATCACTTTGTAAATTTCCGTCCATTCTGTTCTGGCCTGATGTGTTTCTGTTGAGCAATCATTTGATAATCTAATGGGAGATCCCTTGTACCTAACTTTCCATCTCTCTCTTGCAGCCTTTAAGATTCTCTCTTTGTCCTCAACATTTGTCATTGTAATTATGATTTGCCTTGGCATGGGTCTTTTCGGGTTCATCTTGTTTGGGACTCTCTGTGCTTGTGTGACTTTTTTCTCCCCACCTCAGGGAAGTTTTCTGATATTATTTCTTCAAATAGGTTTTCTTTTTAAAAAAAAATATTTTATTGATTTTGCACAGAGAGGAAGGGAGAGAGTTAGACAGTTAGAAACATCGATGTGAGAGGAACAACGATCAGCTCCCTCCTGTACACCTCCTACTGGGGATGTGCCCACAACCAAGGTACATGCCCTTGGCCGAAATCGAACCGGGGACCTTTCAGTCCGCAGGCTGATGCTCTATCCATTGAGCCAAACCAGTTAGGGCCAAATAGGTTTTCTAACCTCTGTTCCTCTTTCTGTTTTCCTGGCACCCCTATTAATTATATGTTGTTTTGTTTCATGTTGTCCTATAGTTCCCTTAGGCTTTCCTCTTGTCTTATAATTTTTTTCTCTAATTGCTTTCAATGGTGTTTTTTATTGCAGCTATATCACCCTTCATTTCTTCTTGGTTCTTACATAAGTTATTGAATTTTTCATCCATTTCTTTTTGATTCTTACATAAGTTGTTGATTTTTTTCCTCCATCTGGTTTATGCACTCTACGACCCTTAATCTGAATTATTTTTCTGACATTTTGCATGCCTCTGTTTCACTTAGCTGCTTTTCTGATGAGTCCTAATCGTTTTCCTTTGGGGGTTTCTTTGTCTACCCATGTTTGATCTCACCGACATACCTAGATGTTGTGTCGTTCAGGGGCTGCTCCTTGGGTGGCTGTGGCTCCTCAGGCTGCGGTTGCTCCTCCGGCGGTTGTGGTAGCAGTTGCTCCTCAGTTGGCAGCTGCTCCTCTGATGGGTGCGTTTCACAGCCGTGGTGTCTCCTCTGGCTGGTTGGGGAGGCTTCTCACACAGCTGATGTTCCTCAGACAGAAGGTGTGCTGATCACAAGGCTGCTGTTCCTTGGATGGGTGCGGGATACACATGCAGCTGCTACTCCTTGAACTTGGGCAGACTGCTCACGTGGCTATTGTTCCTTGAATGGGGGCTGGCTTCACACTGCTGTTGTTCCTCTGATGTGGTGGGCTGCTTGTGGGGCTACTGCTCCTTGGCCTTGGAAAGGTTGATTGCAAGTCTGCTGCTCCTCAGATGGGGGTGGGCTGCTGGTACTGCTGCTGCTCTTTGGATTGGAGTGAGCTGCATGCGTTGCTGCTCCTCCTCTCCAGGTGTCTGGTTATGTGGTTTGCTCTCTAGCATTTTCCAGGGGAACTCTCCCCTTCCCAGCTGCAAACTGTCTCACCAGCTGAATATACTTCGCCAATTTGGGGGTGGATGTTATCTGTTTTAGCTGCTCATTCTATTTGCTCCAGGATAAGCCTTGGGACGTGTCTGCCTATTCTGCCGCCATTTTGTCTCTCCTCTACTTTTTTTCTTGACTGATTACTGTGGTTAGAACTTGCAATACTGTGTTTAATAAAAATGGTGAAAGTGGAGATCTTGTCTTGTTCCTGATCTTAAAGAAAAAGCTTTCAGTTTGTCACCATTGAGTGTGATGTTAGCTGTGGGTTTTTGTTATGTTGTCTTTATATTGAGGTATGTTCCCTCTGTTCCCACTTTATTGAGTTTTTATTCTGTATTTCTTCTTGACTTGAGATTTACCTGCTTTTTTTTATAATTCTAAACAATCCTCCCCAAGTTTCTGTACAGCCTATTTTTAGTTTTTATTCTTGCACACTTTAGAACTATGAAAGCCAGTCTTCTGGTTGGTTTTATTTGCTATTTAACTTACATAGTTCCTTTTATGTACTTGCATAAAAGTACCTCCTGGTACATAAAGAGGAAACATGTTTTTCTTATTATTTTTCAGGCTGGGAATCTGTGTGTGAGAGTGAAGAATTAACCCCAAAGCAGGACATTTGTGAAGCACAGTCATCCCAGAAGATAATAGTAAAATTTAAAAGCTGTGGTCTTGAGTACTCCAATTTGAGAGAGGAATGGAAATGTGAGGGCCATTCTGAGAGGCAACCAGTGAATCAGAAGTCATATTTCAAAGAAGAGACAATTACTAATGAAGGAGCCCTTATTTATGAAAGAGGACAAGAATATAACAAATCTTGGCAAAGTTTCCGTCTGAACACACTGCTTCATACACAACAGATAGCTTCAAAAGAGGAGAAAGAACATAAACATGACACACATATGAAAGGCTTTAAAAATAACTTAGTGGTTATTAAACCCAAGAATATATATACAGAGAAGAAACTTTTGAAATGTAATGACTGTGAAAAAGTTTTCAGCCAAAGCTCATCCCTTATTCTTCATCAAAGAATTCATACTGGGGAGAAGCCCTATAAATGTGTAGAATGTGGGAAAGCCTTTAGCCAGAGATCAAATCTTGTTCAACATCAAAGGATTCATACTGGAGAGAAACCCTATGAATGTAAGGAATGCAGGAAAGCATTCAGTCAGAATGCACACCTTGTTCAACATCTGAGAGTTCATACTGGAGAAAAACCTTATGAATGTAAGGTATGTAGAAAAGCCTTCAGCCAGTTTGCCTATCTTGCTCAACATCAGAGAGTTCATACTGGAGAGAAACCCTATGAATGTATTGAATGTGGGAAAGCATTTAGTAATAGATCATCCATTGCTCAACACCAGAGAGTTCATACTGGTGAGAAACCTTATGAATGTAATGTGTGTGCGAAAGCATTTAGCCTTCGTGCATACCTCACTGTACATCAGAGGATACATACTGGAGAGAGACCCTATGAATGTAAGGAATGTGGGAAGGCCTTTAGTCAGAATTCACACCTTGCTCAACATCAGAGAATTCATACTGGAGAAAAACCTTATAAATGTCAGGAATGCAGGAAAGCATTCAGCCAGATTGCCTACCTTGCTCAACATCAGAGAGTTCATACTGGAGAGAAACCCTATGAATGTATTAAATGTGGGAAGGCTTTTAGCAATGATTCATCCCTTACCCAACATCAGAGAGTTCATACTGGAGAGAAACCTTATGCATGTAATGTTTGTGGAAAGGCTTTTAGTTACTGTGGATCCCTTGCCCAACACCAGAGAATTCATACTGGAGAGAGACCCTATGAGTGTAAGGAATGCAAGAAAACCTTTAGGCAGCACGCACATCTTGCTCATCATCAGAGAATCCATCTTGGTTTGTCACTTACACCTAATTCTGTCAATCACCAAGTCCTATAGATCTATTATAAATATTTCGGGAATTTATATATTTTTCTCTATCTTTAATGTCACCCTAGTCCATTTCACCTGGATCATTGCTGTAGCTTTTCTAACAGGCTTTCCTGTATCAATTTTGCTTTCCTTAAATTTATTTCTCATCATGCACCCAAAATTATATTTTTTAATACATACATTACTGCCTCTAATGAAAACTTTTTTGGCTTATTATTGTTAATCTAACATCTACAGTCTTTAAAATTTTCAATGAGGTCCTTTATTATCTGGTTCTTATGGACCTCTCAGCCTTATTTTATTTTAGTTTTCCTCTCTGGGCACTAAGCACTTCCCAGGATGAAAAGCTTAGATTCTAGAATATTATAGCTCTATCACTACTGTGTGTTATGTGGCTTTGAGTAATTTGCTTGACCTCAGGGTTTTCTTTAATTTCAAAATAGGGATAATAAAGGACACAGTAATTTAGAAAGGTCTGAAGTTAAATAGTGTATGTTGTAAATTGATACATATTAAGTAAGAATTTTGCATGTAAAGTACTTCATGCAGTGCATTAAATATAGCCCACATTCAGTAAATGATAGCTAATCTTTATTGAATGCCTATTTTATTCATTAGGCATTGTTCTACATAGTTAACATATATTAACTCACTCTTCATATCGGAAACAAGTAGAACATCCCTGGGAAGCAACCTAAAAATTTTAGAACATAAGTGAAGTCTTTGTACTCTAGGTGAGTAATCAATATATACACAAAAAGTAGTAGAAATATAACACTTATAACCAGTTTTAGGAAGTTTCCAGAGAGAATGAATTGGATAAATTTAATTAAAATAAAACAAGTATTTACTGAGAATTACAGAGCTTACATTTAGGTAAAGAAAAGAATAGAGGATCACAACTCTAAGCAATAACAAAACAATATCCATAAACCTAGAAATTCATACTGTCCCATAAAAAGGCACCAGGCCCAGGTAATTGTATGGTTGAATCTAGTTAATTTCAAAGCTTTAAACTTCCATGCTGTAGGAAACAAGCATAATATTTAGAAATATTTTTATCCAGTGATTATAAAATTGAATTTAAGAGAGGACTTAGAGAAGAAAACTACATATATATGTATTTCATTCATTCAGTGAATATTGGATAGCTACTATTTGCTAGGTACTTACACTATTATAGGCATGAGGAGACAATGATGATCAATACGAAGACCATGTTCCCTTAGAGTAAAATTCCAGAGGCTGGAAGTGTTAATACATAAATATAAGCATAGTTTTCCACACTCAGAAGATGGAAGAATAATGAAGTAAATTAAGAAGTATTATATAGTCTATACCAGTGATGGCGAACCTATGACACCCTTGTCAGAAGTGACACATGCTCATTTTTTGGTTGATTTTTCTTTGTTAAATGGCATTTAAATATATAAAATAAATATCAAAAATATAAGTCTTTGTTTTACTATGTTTGCAAAGTTTTCTAATCCTTGCTCCTCCTCTTGTCCTCTGGCACCCCTATGTATGTATGGTACTTCGTTTCATGTTGTTCCAAAGCTCCCTTAGGCTCTCCTTCTGCTTTCCATTTTTTTCTCCAATATCTGTTCATGTTGGGTGTGTTTCTCTGCCCTCTTTTTTAACTCACTAATTCGGTCCTCCACTTCTTCTAGTTTACTGTTTAAACCTTCCATCATGTTTTTTACTGTAGCTATACCATTCTTTATTTGCTCTTGATTCTTACATAAGTTGTTGATTTTCTCATCCACCTGGTTTAGAAACTATGACCCTTGCTCTGAATTCTTTTTCTGACATATTGCATGCCTCCATTTCCTTTAGTCACTTTCTGGCGATTCTTCCTTTTCTTTCCCTGGAGGGTGGGGGTTGTTTCTTTGTCTCCCCATTTTTGCTATCTCTTTCTGGCCCTGGGAATCCTGCTTGTGGTTTGAGAGGTTGAAGACCCTATCAGCGCAATGGTCTAGAAAATGTTAGCCCAGAGGCTAGGTGTGCCTTGAGTCTTTCACAGCTTTATTGTCTCTGCTATGAGTTGTATCCCCTTATTCCACTGATATGATCCTTCAGTTGTCTGCTTCAGATCCTTGGGGTGGTGGGAGTGCATGAAAAGTTCCTCTGATGTGCAACTACCTGTGAGGACCCATAGCCCTCAGGCATGCAGTTCACTGTGCAGCCCGGCACCCATGTCAGGGTGGCACCCTAGGTCCCACTGGCAACACACTTTTGCAGCATGGTCCTGTGGCCTCTGGCTAGGTACACTGGGTTGCTTCAGGTCCCCCAGAAGTGCTTTCCTATGGCCTAGAGTGAGGTGTGTGCTGGGTTGCTCTGGATAGCCCCTGCAGGACTGTCCCAGGTGGCAGGGAGAAGTGGGTTCAGGTTGCAGTGTGTTGCACTGGCAGCAGGTCCTGGTGCTGGGGGTGGAGTGAGTGCTGGGTGACTTTGGGTCTGGTTAGCAGCACAGTTCTGTTATCCAGGGTGGGATTAGGGCACAGGGTTCCCCTAGCTTACACTCACTGTGGGGTCTTGGAGCTGGATCCTAGGACACTGGGTCCCAGCATGCTGGTGAGGAGGCCAAGTGCAGGAGCTCACTCTGGTTGTGTGCACTCCCTGCAGACATTTGGGAGCTTGACAGCAGGTACTGTGCCACTTACTTCCAGGGCACGGTGGTGGTTCCATGTGGGATATAGCTGGCAAGTGGCATTTTCTAGGCATCCTCTTGAAAATTGTCTCCTTAGCTGTGTCTAATTTCTTAATTCAAAGTGGATGTTCTCCAATTTAGTTGCTTTCCTGGCCTGGCCCTAGGAGGAGGTGCACAACACTGCTGCCTATTTGGCTGCCCTTCTGCTCTTTTTTAAATTAGATTGTTTGCCTTTTTGGCGTTGATTAGTATGAGTTCTTTATACATTTTTTATATTAATCCATTATCAATGCTTGATTTTATATTATATTTATATGTAATATAATATATTTATAATATATATTATGTTTTATATTAACCCAGTATCACTGGTGAATGTTTTTTCCTTCAATATATTGTCTCTGGTTTTTTGAAACTTTTCTTTGCGGTGCAAATTTTTTCATTTGATGTACAAATCATTTCATTTGATGTACTTTCATTAGGTTTTTTTTTGTTAGTATCCATTGGCTGAAGAGATATAAGAAAAATATTGCTAAGAGAAATGACAGAGATTATACTGCCTATGTTTTCTTTTCTTTATGGTTTTGATTCTTACATTTAAGTCTTTAATCCATTTTGAGCTTATTCTTGTAGATAGTGTAAGAAAGTGGTCAATTTTTTTGCATGAATCTAAACACAATTTATTGAGTATACTGTCTTTATCCTATTTTATGTTCTTGCCTCCTTTTGGAAATATTAATTGGACATATAGGTGTGCATTTATTTCTGTACTCTCTATTATGTTCCATTGATTTCCATGTCTGTTTTTATGCCAGTATCATGCTGTTTTGATGACTATGGCTGTGTAATATATTTTGATATTAAGTAACATGGCATCTCTAATAGGTTTCATATTTGTTCTAGTTTGATGAAATACATCATTTGTATTTTTATAAAAATTGCATTGAATCTATAGATTACTCTGAGTAGTATGGACACTTAATAATGTTGCTTCATCTTATACATACGCACAGTATGTTTCTATTTATTTGTATCTCTTTCAATTGTTTTCTTCAGTATTTTACAGGTTTTCAAGTATAGGTCTTTTATCACCTTGTTTAAAATTATTCTTACATATTTTGATGCAATTATAAATGGGATTATTTAGTTAGTTTCCCTTTTTGATATTTCATTATTGGTGTATAAAAATGCAGCAAGTGATGTCAGAGGGATGGCAGCACAAGAGGTCCCTTTGGTCTCTCCCTTTGAAGTCACAACAATTTGAACCGCTATAATTCATCAAAAGATTCCCTGCTCAACACACAAACACATATGACAGTACAGCCATTCATTGAAACATTTGAAGGTGGGTGAGTGGAAGTAAACTGGTGGAAGAAAGGGAGAAGAACTGAGACAGTGCCACATATACAGCCTGAAGCTCATTGCATTTCTTGGAAGAAGGAAGGAATCAGTTTGCTGCTGTCACTTCCTTTAGCTGCAGGAGCAGAGAGATATAGGGAGCACTCCTGCGCTGCAGCTGAACCCAGTGACTTGGAGAGGGACAAAGCACAGAGGTGTGGCAATGTTTGCTTGGTAATCGCCATTGCCAGGAAAAAAACAACACAGAGTCTGGCTGCTTCCCCTTATCTTCCCAGAGTCCTCCTCTACTCACTGTCCTGGAGCTGGCAGAAAGACCCAGAAGAAGCTGTAGTGGTGAGTGTTGGGTTACAGAGCAACTTATATGCAAACCCAACAACTGGGACCATAGGAACATTTATTTCCCTGAGTAACAGGTGCACTCTGTGGCTAATACCAGTGATGGGTGGAGATATAGACTTCTGAAGTATGCCAGTCAATATTACGGGCAATGCAAAGCCACAAAGGCACCAGACAGCCTCTCACAGCCCACCACATCCCTACCCATCATGGCTATACTGTCAGCATAGAGTCTAGAGTCTAGACTAACTACAAAGCACAGTGCTGAGATTTCACGCATTTGGAACCACCTCTCCTATCACATTTCCCCATGGTGTTGGTGCCCTGAGACAGTTGCAAAGTTATCAGAGATAAGACACCCAGCTCCCCAGGAAACACCGGACATTTTTCTCTGCCTTGTAAAGATTGGAGAAGCCAAAGTGATACAAGATAAACTAAAGAACTTGTGCTTCAGTGCCATCTACTGGAAAAAAATGAATAGACTTCTTATCAATCTACTAGAAAAGTGCCACTCATATATGCATAGATTCCTGCACAGAGAAGAAATCCGTCAAATACCATGCATAACCATGGTAATGAGGCAGCTCAGAAACAAAATAAAAAATCTCCAGAAAATAGAGAGACATGGAAATGTATGATTCAAATGACATACAATTCAAACTGCAGTTCTAAAAAAATTAAACTAAACAAGATACAATAAAACAAAGTTAGGCAGTTTGATGAACTCAGAAATAAAATCAACATACACAATGAGTACTTTATTAAAGAGATTGAAACTTAAAAAAATGAATAAAATAGAAATTTTGGAGATAATGAATAAAAGAAATAAAGAATGAGCTAGCAAGTATAGGAAAAAGAGCCAACCAAATGAAAGAATTAGTAAGATTGGGATTCTAAGAAGGCTGCATAGTAACTGGAAGCTGTGTCTACTTGCTCCCAGCTATATATCATATGTACAGCTAAATTAAAGAGAAATCAACTTGAAAAACAAATTGATATATAGCTTATCTGAAATATTATAACCAAGGAGCACAGAAGAAGACACATAGATATTGGTAAAAGGGGCAGAGCTTGGAAATGGAGAGCAGGGATGGCTGAGAAGCTTGAGGGATATCACAGTTGCAGAACTCCCTCACCCTAGGAGCATGGGGCCTCAAACCCATGCAGGAACCCCCAACCAAGAGCAACAAAGATTGGTGGAGGAGCCTGCGTAGCACTGGGTGATGGGAATCAGTGGAGATTCTCTCTGCCTGAGAGAAACAGACCTCATCATTCCAGAGAAGGAGCATGCTCCCATTGTTGTAGTAGCAGCCTGGATAATTTGCTCTGATCACTGACTGCTGAAGATGGCATGCTGTTGCACTCAGGTCTTGTGGAGGGGTCTGCTGACTACATTTAGCAGTGATTTTGAGAGGCCCATTGTTATCTGGAAAGGCTTTGGACAGAAACCCAGTCGGTCACTACACTGTGTTGCTTGGTGGAAGAAAACATCTCTTGCACACTGAGTGTACAGTTAGAGCCCTCTCCTCACCTGTTGAAATGCTTGTCCTGCTGGGTTTGGCAGAATAGGGGAATGGTGCATGACTGGAACCTTTGGCCCATACAGATGGGTTTGATGGCACAGTGAAGCCACAATTTTGGTCCATCTTGCCAGGTTAGGAGCCAGAGTGAGGCTATGAAATTTGGTCTTGCCTTACTAAGACCAGCCATGGAGAGAGATCAGAATGCCACACAGGGCTGATTTTTGCTTCCACCCCTGCCCCACCCTGCTGTTTGGTTTGATGGTGTGGAGCTGCTGTGAAGCTGAAAATAGACCTGGGTTTTAAAACTGTTTCTCCTGGGGAAAATTCTATGTGGGAGCCACGTGAGAGAATGCTGTGCTCATTTACTGCATTGTGGGGAAGGGGATCTGAACTCCTCTATGAGTTCAGACCATACTGCCCTAAGAATAGAAAGTACCTACCCACCCTTCTACTGGTTACAGGCACCACTCCCAATAGGAGACTGTATAGATAAGCCCTGCCAAGTACTGG